CACTCTTGCGTGTTTGTGGACAAGTTGTAATTATGACATAGAAATTTTATATCCTGCTGTTTTTCACCCAGCATTGCATTACAGAATTTTTTTCCATTTTACTACATGATCTTATTATTTTTAATAATTGCATAATAGTTTATTGGGCGGATGTACTTTGCTTTTCCAAACCATTCCCATATTATTAGACATTAGATTATTTCTGTGGTTTCCACTATTATAAGTAAACCTGCAATGGATGTCTTCCTGTGTGGAGCCTTTCCCTCCCTTAAAATTCTTTTAGTACATTTTCAGAAGTGAAATTACAGAGCTAAGTAGGGTATAAAATTCTTGATATCTCTGCTAACTACCTTCTAAGGCGTGTATAGAATATAGCCCTGCTTGCCATGGATGAGGGTACTGGGGTTATCACAATTTTATCAGATCTCATTATATATCATTACATAAAAATCATAATTTATTTTTTATTGAGGTATGATCTATATACATAAAAGTTTTACATTGTCGTATTTCATGTTTGAATAGTGTATCCCCATTTTATTGGGGTGACATTGGTTAATAAAATTAAAAGTCTCAGGTAAATTTATAACACATCTATATATTGTATTGTGTGTGCACCACCCCAAGTCAGGTCTCCTTCCATCATCATTTATCCCACCTTTATCTTCTTCTACCTCCCCTTTCCCCCTTCCCCTCTGGTAATCACCATGCTGTTTGAGTTTTTTTTTCTTAATCCTTTCACCTTTTCTACCCAGCCCCCAACCCTCTCCTCTGACAAGTCAGTCTGTTCTCTGTATCTATGAATCTGTTTCTATTTTGTTTGTTAGCTTGTTTTGTTCATTAGATTCTACATGTAAGTGAGGTCATATGTTATTTGTCTTTCTCCAACTGGTTTATTTCATTTAGCATAATACTCTCCAGGTCCATCCATGCTTTCGCAAAAGTAACATTTCCTTTTTTATGGCTGTGTAGTATTGCTGTGTAAATGTACCACGGCTTTTTTATCCAATCATCTACTGATGGGCACTTGGGATGCTTTTATATCTTGGTGATTGTAAATAACACTGCAGTGAACATAGAGGTGCATATATTCTTTCAAATAGTGTTTTGGGTTTCTTCAGATAAATTCCCAGAAGTGGAATCCCTGGGTCATACGGCAGTTCCATTTTTAATTTTTTGAGGTAACTCCACACTGCTTTCCACAGTGGCTGCACCAGTCTGCACTCTTCCCAACAGTGCACAGGGGTCCCCCTTTCTCCACATCCTCGCCAGCACTTGTGTTGTTTGTTGACTTACTGATGATTGCCATTCTGGCAAGTGTGAGGCGATATCTCAATGTGGTTTTAATGTATATTTCTTAATGATTAGTGATCTTGAATATCTTGTCATATGTCTGTTGGTCATGTGTATGTCCTCTTTTAAGAAATGTCTATTCAGGTCCTTTGTTCTTTTTTTAATTTGTTTTTGGTGTTAAGTTGTATAAGAAGTTCTTTATAAATTTTGGATATTAACCCCTTAGAGCTAATTTTTTTTTTTTTAGGAGCTCTTCATTCACATAAATTGTGTTTTTCCTGCCCTTTGACAATAGGACTCTTGGCCTGCCATATAGCATAACATTTTTGCCTGAAGACAATAGTCATTTCAGCTGGTAGCTTTTGGAATTATTGCTCAGGTGTAAGAATAATAATCAAGGTATTAAATTTCTCTAATGGGGCTTATTTGAAAAAGGGCCAATGAGCCTTTTGAAGGACTGTGGAAGCACCTTACCTTTTTTTTTTCTTTTTTTTCTTTTTTTCTTTTTTTTTGCAAAGGGCTGTCTCTAACAGTTAGGATAAGGCCATTGTTGAGTGGGTTTCACTTAGCTCTGAGTTCCCACTGCTCCCACCCAGTGATGGTGGTAACTCACCTGGTGAAGGATAGAATTGGCAGATTAAGTTAGATCTACAGTCTTTATCCTTAACAGAAATAATAAAATACTAATAGTAATATATACTTATGTAGTCTTTACCATTGCCAGGCACTGTTGTAAAAGCTGTACATATAATAACAAATTTAATTTTCGCAGCAACCTTACACATAGGTGTCTGTTTATTTCCATTTTATAGTGAAGAAACTGAGGGACAGAAAGTGACAGGTCAGGTCTTCTAGTTTACGTCTCCCACATAGTCTCTTTTGGCTCCTTTGCTTAACACTTCTGTCTCAGCTGGTTTTCCTATGAACAGGTCTCTCCATGTCCTGCATGCCTCCCATTCTGCACACCTGGTCCTCACCAATAACAATAGCTGCTTTTTATGGAATGGTCAACATGGCAAGGTGTCATCCTGATGCTTTTACAAACATCTCAATTAATTGTTACAACCATACCTGAGGCAGGTAAGACAGGGCCACTTATCGGGGAAGAGACTCAAGGAGGCGACCATACTCATGGGTGGCAGAACCAAGGCGGTACTTGAAAACCCACGCTTGTCCTCCCCATGCAGGCTGCCTGTGGCTCTTCTCCAGGGATCCTTTCGCCTCTTTGATTTCTTCTATGGCCTCCCTGTCTCAGCCATTCCTGTATCAAGTATGACAGGCAGCTAGCTGAGCAGTCTTTTCAGTGTGTCTGTGACTGGCCCCTCATGTGGCCTCGGAGCTCGTCCAGGGAGTGACTGTCTTTTTGGGGCTCACAGTCTCTGTACCTGGCTCTCATGAGTACCTTGCCTACTGTTCCTTGTTACTGACTTGTGGTAATGACAGACTGCTCTGCTATCTCAGCACTTGTGGCCAATTGCGGTGAGCTGCTTCCTGGGCCAATACAGACACCCTCGTCATTTCAGAGGACAGTACTTGTTATGCTGAAGTCAGATTTAGTGAGATCAATGCCGGTGTGCTTTTGGGGGGAATAAATAGATCAATACAAAGTTGAGGGTGGCATAAATCATTTATAAATCCTTTATAAAACTCTTGCTACTGGTTGTGTAATAGCTAATGAAGACTCTAAAATGAAGAGGCCTTTTAATCTAATGTCACCCTTTTGTTTATTTCTTTGGAGGTTAAAAATCTGGATCCACACTGGCTTTGTTCATTGTGGAGGTTCTGGATTTAAGGGCTAAAGTTAATCACTATATATTTTGGAAAATATTTATTTTTAGAGAGAGGGGAAGGGAGGGAGAGAGGGAGAGAAACATCAATGCAAAAGATAAACATTAGTAAGCTGCATCTCATGTGCCCTGACCTTGAACTAGCTACCTTTTGCTTTGTGGGATGACACCCAACCAACTGAGCTGCACAGGTTAGGGCAGTCACCATATTCATGTATATACTCAAATTCACAGCTTTGGTGTGTTTGACAGGATTATTTCAGCTGTTTCCAAATTTTCACAAGAATTTAATTAAAATTTTAGGCATATCAATGACTTTTTGAAGTTTGTTTTTTTATGTACCCAAAGCCCACAGTTTAAATCTTTAAGTTTGTGTTAGTTAAAAAGAAGTTTGTATGTAGGGGTACTTTTGTATGTTGCTGAATTTTTACGAACACACATTTTTTCTAGGAAAAGGAAGGATTGGTTACCTTTGAAGGGGCTGGTAGGGATGGTCGGATGGGCAGACAGGAAGTCACATGGTCAGACCTCCTGAACCCCCACCTCCTAGCATCATGTGGTTCACTTTTTTTTACTGTTTATTTTATTACAGTTGTCTCAATTTTTCCCTTTTTGTTCTCCTCCACCCAGCCCTCCACCAGCCCCCACCGTCAATCCCCACACCATTGTCCATGTCCATGGGTCATTCATACATGTTCTTTAACTAATTCATGTGGTTACTGTGAGGATTAGAGAGAAAACCAAATTTTATCCAGGAAAGAGTAGGACCACATTTACTTCCAGGCTCCAGGAGCCAAGGGGGCTCAGCGCACCTTCCATTCAGTTCAGCCTGTGTCTGGCACTCCGTGTTTCTCTGAAGTGAATGTAGTATCAATTCAGCCAGAAACATGTTTTAAGGATTTAATGGGATTATGTATGTAAAAGAAAGGTATGCTTTGAGAAGTACAAAATATTCTGCCGGTGTCAAAAAACAAGTATGCAGTAATTTATGGAGTAGAACACTGAAAGCACAGAGGAAATAACGGGCTTCTGAGCTTTGAGAAGGCAAAAGGCAGGATTTAAACGTATGTGATTATGGCTAGATTTTTTGAAGAGCCAAATGCAACCGCTTTCTCAAACCGTAGCCTAAACATGATTAGTTATTTTGGCTTGATCTTACTAAATTATACCAAATAAATTATACGTTTTTTTATATGGCCTTTCTCGTTTGGATGGAAGGAATGAATGAAACAATACAAAGGTAACCTTTTGTTCTCGGAAATAATTGCCACAATCATGACAGATATAGGATGTTAGCATTTTCATTATAATGTGATCTGCTTCAAACATAGCCCATTCTTCTTGGAAAGAATTAAGGTTAAATGAGGTAGATATTAAAACCTGCATATGCATGGGTTAATTTTCCATGAAGTCAGAGCTCAAAAATTTCATTTATCAGACTTTGCTGAACTGCGCAGCTTTCTCTTTTAGACTTTGACATAACTGCTAAGCCTTGTGGCTCTGCTGTGTATGTGAGTATGCGTATACAATGCTCTGCATTTTCTCTGGAAATGATTAGATTGTGTGGGCATCATTAGGGTCTGTTTACCTATGTGGTGTGGCTTGTTTCACTGTCAGAGATCTCAGGGTTTGGCACTTTTTACAAATAGGCTTCCTTCGGTTCCTTTTGTCCAGCTGCACATGTTGCTGTGTGGTTCCTGCCATGAGTCCTCAAGATAACAGGAGAATGTGTCTGAGAGCTTCAATCGCCAGGGTTAGGTCAGTGGCCCCGTGCAGCACAGTGAACAGCCCTCGCCCTGGCCGCACTGCTCATCTCATTTGTCCTCACGTGTTTACCCAGCAGGAACATGACGCCTGACAAATTTATCAGTAACGTCTCCCCTTCTCTGTCTCCTCCTCTCTGTCCCCATCTTCTGCCAGGCGGGTGCCCCAGTGATGTCTGGCGCGGGAGAAAGCACGAACCCCGAGAACAGCGAGCTCAAGTACTCAGGTCAAGATGGGCTGTACATAGGTGTCAGCCTGGCCTCGCCGGCTGAAGTCACGTCCTCCTCGGTGAGACAGGATTCATGGTGCGCGCTCGCCCTGGCCTGAGCCCGCTGCCTGGAGCGGGAGGGCCCTCGGGACCTGCGGCCATTATTGCCACGCTGTGGAAACCGGGGCGAGTATGCTGACAGAACATTCCTCTGACGCGTGATTTCCGTGCCTTTATTTTGAAAGAGATGCGTTTCCCAAGAGGCTTGCTCTGCCTTGCCAGCCAGCCCCTGACAGTGAAGAGCCAGGGAGAAGACGGAGCCTTTCCTGGGAAGGCCAGTGCAGCCCTCCGCCCGGGTCTCTTGCCTGGCCACTGCCACTTCCAGCCAGCCTACCTGTGGGTCTGCCAGGGCATCCGCTGGGCCACTTCTAGAAACCTGGACTAGGACTGGGGCCTTGCCTGCTAAGGAATTTTGAGATTTTTTTAAAAAGGTTTTATGTGTATTGCCCCAAATCATGTGCTTCTTCTGATCGGTTTTGGTTATTCCAGAATTTATTAATACCTTTCCACACCCAGATTTCACATGTGTTCACGAAGAAGACCATTTGAGGCCATTTGGTACACATCTCTGGAGGCTGAGTCGGTTCATGAGGTCACTTGTCAAAAATATTACTCAGTTTGCAAGACTGCATTATAACTGTAACGTACACTGTGACTGACATTTCTCAAAGTTCATATTGTGTGACTGATCTGAAGTCAGTCGGAATTTGTAAACAGGGTAGCAAACAAGATATTTTTCTTCCATGTATACAATAATTTTTTTTAAAAAGTGCAATTTGCGTTGCAGCAATCAGTGTTAAATCATTTGCATAAGATTTAACAACATTTTTTTATAATGAATGTAAACATTTTAACTTAATGGTACTTAAATAATTTAAAAGAAAAATGTTAACTTAGACATTCTTATGCTTCTTTTACAACTACATCCCATTTCTATATTTCCAATTGTTAAAGAAAAATATTTCAAGAACAAATCTTCTCTCAGGAAAATTGCCTTTATTCATTTGTTAAGAATTCTTATACAAGAACACCAATATCCCCCCTTTATTTTACTGTGGAATACGTGCTGGAAAATTTGCAACACTTTACTACCTAACAGACAACATTTGTAAATACTCTTGGCATCTGTACACACCAATATGAAGTCTCTTTAGTGTGACTGACCCACAGGCAGGTTGGTTTACATTAATTTTTTAAAAATGGGATGTCATATGGAAACCTATTTCACCAGAGTTTTAAAAATAAAAAGGGTATTGTTTTGTCTTCTGTACAGTGAATTCCTTCCCTTTTAGTTTCATTTTGATAATGTATGTGACTATAGATATTCATATAAAATAAGTGCATGTGAGGTTTGCAAATTGCCTTACGGTCTTCCTTTCAATGAAGTGTCCTTTTGGAGCTGTTTTATAACATAGTTTATTTGAAGTTGGCACATGGGGTTAGTTATCACTTTCAATTTGCATTGGAGACAATTTTTATAAGTGAAAGGGAGCCAGCATTCTATCTTTTCTGAGATTATAAGTGTTCTCTTTAGGATCAGTCCTTAAAAACATTGAAAAAGTCCAGAGCTTCTTCCCTCTGAATGAAATACACTTTATAGTTTAGAAATGGTCTCCTTTTTTTGGAACCTCCCTTTTGCAACGTGCCACTAAGTCTCAAAGCTTATCTGAGGTTGAGATCCTTTCACTCACCAGAAGATATAAAACGATCTGAACAGTCTGCTTTTTCTTCACTATTGGGTGGATTTCAGGAAATCAAGAAGCTGCTCCACAACACAAAATGGTGTAATTTCATTTTGGCTCTGAAGTGTGGGGCATCTTTGACTTCTTTTCAGGATTACAGCCATTCTGTGGGGTCTAGTTTGATTCTTTCAAGAGAAGGGAGGTGTTCCTTTGCGGTGGGTGGTGTTGGAAGTCAGGCTCAGGGCTGGGATGTGTATGTGTCTGGGGAAGCCACTGAAGCCCGCATGCACCCTGAAACCATATGGTGGGCTAAAACAATGGTTGAGTCCTGGGTCTTGAGTCGGACCACTAGACTTCAAGTCCTGCTCTGCTTGCATGAGCTCTGTGACCTTGGGCAAGTTATCCAACTCATTTTCTTCATATATAAAATGCCAGTAACATATAGCTCACCACATAGGAGAGAGTTCATATGAAGTGCCTAGCACAGGGCCAGACACATAGTAAGCATAGAATGTGAACTTGATTGAGGAAGAGTGGCAGGAACTCTTACCACATGGGTTTTTGGAATGTCTTAGTCCCTGCGCAGAATCAGAAGTTTATGGTCTGTGAGAATCTGATGTCTCTTGGCTTACCTGCACTTCTTCAACAATGCTGGGGAGAGGGATATGGGGGATACCCCCACCCTAGGTGGCAGAGATGGATGGGGAGTATGCTTGAGAGATAACAGTGTGAGTTCAGCTGATTGTTTAATAAAACAGGGCTGGTCTGACAGCAAAAGAAAATTATCCCCTCATTTTTGCCCCTCCTTCCTCTTACGGTTTTCATTACTTTGAGGGCTTTCTGGTGGGTTGGCAGTTGTTAGAGTTAATATGCTTTGATTGGAAAATGAATTTTTCTTATTGGGGCTTCCAAATGATCTTTTTTCTGGGGATGGTCTCAAATGTTGTTATTTCCAATCCTAAAGTGCCATTAGGTTGCTAAAGCTCCTCTTTTTTTAGAACACGAAGGAGGAAAGAATTCTAGCTTTCATGAAATAAATGACAAAGGGCAGAAGGAGGAGGGGGCTTGTCGCCTGTCCTACACAGAGAACTCCACTGATCTGGGCTTTTTCAGTGGTAACTCTCACCTGAGACTATATAAAGTGGAAGTTTGACCATTTCTTCCCAACATACAATCTCGGCACCCCCTCCCCCAGAGTATGATGTACAAAAACAATTCATTTCTCACTGAGGAGGACGATGGTGCTCCTCAGCTTAAAGAGTCTGCAGGCCCATTACTGTGGGTTGCAGAATTTATGTCCTCTGTCACTCCTGGCTGATTTTAGGCCATCTTACATAACTGAAGGCTCTGTCTGGGGTTTCTCTTCAGGGTCACTTTGTGTTGTTTCCCGGTGCTTATGGGAGGGTCAGGAAAGCAAAGGGAGCTATTCATTTCCCCCTGCAAATAAATTAACTTCTTGCTCATGGGAAATGTTTTCCCCAGTCCTTGGAAAATTGATGTAATTTCAGATTATAGATAGGTTAGCTGCTGGAAGGGCAATACAGCAGGTCTTAGGCGGCTACGCCAGATTCCAGGCTGCTTTCGTTTTGGGGCAGTGTGGTGGCTTCGGTGTGTTAAGGTCTCTTTATGTCCCGGCACTGTGCATGGGGTCGGCAGGTCCCTGTGACTCTGAGAAGCAAATACTGGGGGGAGGGACAGGCAGCAGGGGAGACTGAGAGTGGAGAGCAGGGACCAAATATTCATTCAGAATAAGGCAGTTCTCATTAATTAAAATGGATTTTGTTTATGGGTTGAAATAATAAGTCAACTTGGCAATCTCCTGTTGTTTGGAAGCTCTAAAGGGCAGTCAGATATGAGTTTGGTTATTTTAAATGAGAACTATTAATAAATTTGTTAGATCAAATCTTTGAGAACAGGTACTACGGGTAAAAATTCTGTAGAGCTCTGGCCGCTTGAGGCCTCAAGATGGATACTGTGTGGCTGAAACATTAGCTGCAGCTAAAGGAGGCCTGTCTGCTAAGGTTTTTGGAGGTAGGGACAGGGTGCTAGCCCTGGGTAAGATCTGCAGAGGGGAGGAATCACATGGTGCCCTTCGTGGTTTCAATGATAAGACATTATTAGGCTGGAAGCCTGAGGAAGTCCATAGGAACTCTGGGTCAGTTCTGGTTGGTAGTTTCCAAATAGCTTCTAAAAGAGTTAGGGTGTTGCAGGTGCATGTCAAACCTCTGCTATGGCGTCTCCCAGATCTGCTCTGGCGGACAGCCGGTACTCACTGTTACTCTGGCTCATCAGCTGGCACAGGCACGTGACCGTTTGCAGTTGGTATCACTATTTTAGTTAAAGAGATTAAAAAAAACATTTTAAAAATGGCCAAAATACAGCAATTGAAAATGAAATAATGTTTAATTAGTAGAAGGGCTTATATTTTAGTCACCAGTGGTTCCCTGTGGTAAGATAATTATCTAGATATCCCTTAGCATTTGAGCAAGTCATTTCCTCCCTGGACCTCAGCCTCTGCAGCAAGCACATAATGGAGAAATCAGGCAGTGTAGTCTGAAGGTCCCTTCCATCTGTGTTTGCTGCCTGCAGGCCCACATGCTGATAATAGGTAATGAGGAGGTTGTGGGCCCGTGGTATGGTCTGGGTCCTCTGAGACTGAGGGGCTTCTGCAGGCCATGCCATGACTATGGAAGCTGGTGGATTGGAATCTTCCTAGCTTTCTCCTGGTTACCTTACCTCCTCAGATTTTGCTCTGCGGAGGCCAAGAACTCCTGTTGCCTTAGCCCACAGAGGGTGCGAGTCTGGTCAGATTAATGAACACAGGGACTTGGTAAGAGGTGCTGCCACCCCCTAACACCAAACCCTTGATAGAAAACTTATACGGTGATATGGACCCAGACCGGAAAATGGAAATGTCTGGCAGTTGAACAGTCCGCAGAACAAGGAAAAAACAGCTTTGCTTTGCTTGGCCCATTGCTTCAATATCTTGTAGTTGGTTTTTTATTTCTTGGAAACCAACTTTTCATTACTGTTTGCTTTCTGTGCTTCTCTGTACCCATTACAGAGTTTTCCTCCCTGTCTCTCCACCCCTTCCCTAGCTTATCCCTTATTTTTGTGGATTCTATTCCTTTAGCACTCCAAGACTGGTCTGAAAAAATAATAGCAAATATTTTTACTCACTATGGGTGAGCATCTATACAAAGCGCTGCACATATATTGATTTATGTAATCCTCATACCAAGCGAAGGAGGTGTTGCCATCCCATTTTACAGATATCTCTACAGAGAAGTTAAGTAACTTGTCCAAGGTTACGTGGGGGCAGTCTGGTTCTGGAGCTCCGGCCCTTACCCACTCTATCATGTTGTCTTCTTGATTTAAAGGGGAAGAAATTGAAAAACAGGGGGAGGCAGAACTGTCTGAGACCTGAGGTTATGCCCTTTCTGTCTCCCGTAGCATTTTAGAAACACACAATTGTGATTTGCAACACAGCTATGCCTAGATTGAGAAACCTCATAAAAGTATACGTTTCTTTCAGTTGTAGATATCTTCAGAATATTTAAGGTAGCATGTAGTTGTTAGCTGGAAAGTATTGAATTTGGAGGTGTTGTGTTGTCTTTGAGCAAGACGCTTCTTTTTCACGTAACTTCAAGTAAGGCTTATTATGCTTTTACTTAGCTCAAAAGCATTTTGCAAAGTTTAAAAAGCTGGGGAAATTATTAACATTGATTAAGACTGAACACCGGAGAGAACAAGGAATAAATACTTCGTTGTGGTGTAAAATCTTTCAATAACATTGTGGTTGTGCCAAAGAATTGTTTTCAGGAACACTTGTGCAAGATTTTGGCAGTGGTGTCTTAGGCTTTATCTTTTTAAATAAGTGTTCATTACTGTTTACATCATTGTTGCTATTATTATTTTGATAAGTTTGCATTACTAATGATGCTGTCTGTCAAGAGTTCTCAAACTTCTGGGGGCACAAAAATCACAGAGAGTGCTTGTTGCATAGCCCCTGATTCTTTCCCAGATGGATCTGATTCCACAGACCCTGTGCAGGGCTGAAAAACCTGTGTTTTTTTGTTTTTTGGTCTTTGCATTAGTTAAAATTTCTGGAATAATACAAAATTAGAAAAGTTTTAAATTGGAACACAGTGAAGAACAATTGTCCTTTTTACCCATGTCCCCCAGCCACTCGGTCTCTCACACGGATGTAACTTCTTTCTTGTATTGATTATATGCATTGACTATCAATGCATGCATAAGCATATACAAGTATATGTATTCAATATTTTTTACATATGTGGTAGTATACTATACACATTGCTTTGCATTTTGCTTTTTTCACTTGGTATTCATTATTTAATTGGTGTCCTGTGAAGAATATTTGTTTCCAATCTTTTTTCTATTCAAGCAATACTGCAATTATTATTCCATATCTGTGTCTTTTAACTCATATGCAAATATACCTATGGGATGAGTTTTTAGACATGGCATTACTGAGTCAAGGAGTATCTCTACTTTTGATTTTGGTAGATATCGCCAATTGTTTTCATGGAGGTTGTTCCAGTTTGCGCTCCCCTGCCAATGTTCC